TTCAAATCCACCCAAAAAAACCCCAAACATCTTGTGTTCATAAACATCTGGGGAATTCACATGCTTCTACATAGAGAGCTGTACATGCCATCTAGTGGTTACACCATTATTCTAAGCTTTTTCTCTATACTGTAACCAGATGGTGCTAATTTTCTTCAAAAAATATTTTTTTTTTTCTGAAGGCCTAGACTCTATATTAAACTAAAATACTGCATTAATAATTTTTTGAAAAAAAAAAAAAATATATATATATATATATAGAGAAAAATATACCATAATAGTCTACAAAAATAGACAATAAATATTGCATAAATATTAATAAATTCAATCAAATTGTCTCAAAATACTAAATTACAAAGAATAAATATGATAGAACAAAAATAAATTGCATTGGTTTTACTGGGATGGAGGAAATTTAATTTTTAGGTGTCCGGTAACTTTTGACTGGGAAGATAACAAGTGTGACTCCGAAACGAACACCTGAGGGTTAAACAGTTTGAAAATTTTGAAAGTGAAATATGAAAGGTGAATATTTAATTTTCAAAAACAATTGAAATTATTTTACTTCCATAATAGATCCTCTTCTTAATATCATTAATTCGTCATTAATAACCCTTCATCATTCATCATTAATAACCCTTGTTAAAAAAACGCAATTTGATCCTACAGAATTAGTCAATTACAGGCCAATCTCGAATCTGCCTTTTCTGTCCAAGATACTGGAAAAGGCCGTATCCTCACAACTGTGTTCCTTTCTTGAAAGAAATGATATCTGCGAGGATTTTTAGTCAGGCTTTACACCCTACCCTAGTACTGAGACAGCTGTCATTAGAGTCACAACTGATTAGCTCTTTTCATCCGATCGTGGTTGTATTTCTCTATTAGTTTTACTTGATCTTAGTGCTGCATTTGACACAACTGACCACAACATTCTTTTAAATAGACTAGAAAACTATGTTGGCATTTGTGGAATTGCATTAGCATGGTTTATATCACACTTATCTGACCGTTATTAGTTTGTAGCAGTGAATGAAGAGATTTCTTATCGATCACAAGTTCAGGACTAGTTCAGTAATTATTGGACAAAAAACTTCCACACGTAACAGCCTAGAATACTGTCTAACACTTGATGGCTGCTCTGTTAAGTCTTCATCGTCAGTTAGGAACCTGGGTGTGCTCTAGGCTTGCAGTTGCCACGGTAGTCGGTGTTACCAGTTTACACGGTGTTCAGTCGCAACACCGGTTTCATGACTTGACCACCGCGGCACCGCGGTGGGCATGTGAAAAAAAAAAAAGTTGAAACCCTTAAAAATATTTAACACAATTACGCAGTATCTGTTAAGTCCTGCCTATTACACACACACACACGACCCACAGAAAAGACGCACGTCGGTATCGAGTTCTCTTTCGGGCTTGAACAAACCATAACACACACAAATGATGCCAAAATGTCCATAAAAGCAGTCTTAAATGATTTAAATAAAGTCGTAAACGAACGTAGAGATTTGTGAGAAAATGGGACGCGTGTCAGATCGCGACTCTGTCAACAACGGCTGTCCGAATTCTCGCTCACTCGTTTTTATTTACTCCTTCTCATTCACTCCTTCAAGTGAACAGTATTAGTGGACTAATGTAGGGAATAGGCCTAGTGAATGAGGGTTTAGGGGGCGATTTCGGATTCAACCCATGAACCTCAAGCAGTGAAAAATAGAGGACACTGCAACGCGTTGACAGACAGGACCGAGCAGGTAATATTTAATATGAAAAAAAGTCTCAACTTTCAAATTTGGCCAGTCAAAGAAAATGAAACAATAAATAGGCCTACCGTTTTGTGGCTCTTTATGTCGTGACAGATTGCCTGATAAAGCCAAGTTCCACCGACGTTAATCTACTAACTCTCCTGACTGCTTAGTTTCTGACTGATCCAGTTAGATCACATGTCTGTCAATCAAACTCCAAGCGAAGGATGAATTGACGCTAATTTAAAAGTGAAAGTTAGTTTCGTTTTCAAACTGGCGCATGTTCAGGGAACAATAACAAAAAAACAGTTCTATTCCGCAGTACCACACCATTATGAATGCCCATTCATGCCTGTGAAAATGCACGCATTTTACATTTGCCTTTAAATTAGCGATTTAAAAGCCCCCGCTGGTGACCCCGGTATTACCAGTGTTGTTGTCACACGTCGATTAACCGGTGAGAAAATATCCTCACAGTCACAACCCTAGTGTGCTCTTTGATACCAATCTTTCATTTGAAAATCACGTGCCTAGCATCTGTAAAACCGCATTTTTCCATCTTAAAAATATATCTCAATTATGCCATATGCTCTCATTGACAAATGCGGAACAATTAGTTCATGCATTCATGACATCAAGGCTAGATTATTGTAATGCTCTACTGGGTGGTTGCCCTGCATGCTTAATAAACAAACTTCAGCTAGTTCAAAACGCAGCAGCTCCAGTTCTTACCAGAACCAGTAAGTATGACCATATTAGCCCGGTTCTGTGAACACTGCATTGGCTGGCTATTAAACATATAAATTTTAAAATATTGCTGATTACTTACAAAGCACTAAATGGTTTAGCTCCCCAGTACTTCAGCGAGCTCTTAAGTTAACGCATTATTGTCCTTCACGTCTATTGCGATCTCGGAATTCCGGCCAGTTGATAATACCTAGAATATCAAAATCGACTGCAGGCGGTAGATCCTTTTCCTATTTAGCACCAAAACTCTGGAACAATCTTCCTTACATTGTCCGGGAAGCAGACACACTCTGTGTGAAGCATACACATAACACATTATAGACTTCCTTAATTCAAAATTAGGCTGCATAGTTTAGATCAGCCAGAAACAGGAACAAGTCCCGTAAATCCTGATGTACTTGGTACATCATAAGAAGGATGGTGTCTATGCTAATATAAGTCTCTCTGTTTATCCTGAGGGACCCTCTCTGGTGGACCTGTGCCTGGACCCATCCCAACTCATCCTTATGTGCTGGCCTCAACGACACAACAGCCATCCTCAACAACTCGTCTCCATACCGGCGTGATTACTTCGACTTCCAAACAGATGGAAATGGACAAATACTCTTAGTGTTTCGATCCAATTTGTCTTGTAATGCTTCCCGAATCACACACTGTTCCTTCATTGGCCAGAGGAGAACTGGCCCCCGACTGAGCCTGGTTTCTCCCAAGGTTTTTTTCTCCATTCTGTCACCTGATGGAGTTTTGGTTCCTTGTCACTGTTGCCTTGGCTTTTGGCTTGCTTAGTTGGGGAAATTTAATACTCAACAATATTATTGATCTGTGTTGTTTTATTTTCATGTTATCACTGCTGATTTGATACAATATATTTCTAAACTCTCAAGACAGTTAATATATATGTTAAATATTTAATTTTGGATGTGTTCATTGTGATTATACTGACTGGGTTTATAACAATTTGTAAAATTTACAGAATGTCTTTGCTTGGGGCATTTGGAAACAAAGCTCTTTGTCAATTTCCGAATGTAATCGCGTTATAACGTTGCCAGTGGCAATGTGCGGAGTTTTGCCGCTGACCCAACATCTACTGGGGTGCCTCAGGGCTCAGTGCTTGGACCACTTCTCTTCTCCATCTACATGACATCACTAGGATCTATGATTCAGAAACATGGCTTTTCCTATCACTGCTATGCTGATGACACACAACTCTATCTCTCATTCTACATCTACAGCCTGCAGCCTGATGATCCGATGGTTGCTGCTAGCATCTCAGCCTGCCTGACAGACAAAACAATACTGGCTGGATGAAGGACCACAACCTTCAACTAAACCTTGCGAAGACAGACTTGCTTGTGGTCCTGGCCAACTCACCACTACACCACAACTTCTCCATTCAGCTAGGTTCGTCACCCAAGTCCATCAAGGTCAGCCAGGAACCTTGGAGCTTTGATTGATGATCAATTGAACTTTACAGACCACATTGCTAGAACTGCCTGGCCCTGCAGATTTGCCTTATACAACATCAGGAGGATCAGGCCCTTCCTAGCAGACTGGATTATTGTAATGCTCTCCTGGTAGGTCTTCCTGCTTGGACTATTAAACCTCTGCAACTGATCCAAAATGCTGTAGCTAGAGTGGTCTTTTACGAGCCGAAGAGAGCATACTTCACTCCTCTCCTCTCGAAATTGCACTGGTTGCCAGGTGCTGCTCGCATCAAATTCAAGTAAAATTTGCCTACAGAACAACCACTGGCTCTACTCCCTCCTACCTAAACTCATTACTTCAGACTCACGTGCCATCCAGAAACTTGCGCTCTACAAGTGAACGCCGTCTTGTGGTGCCATCTCAAAGAGACACAAAATCTCTTTCGCTGACCTTTTTCTGGTCTGTTCCATGCTAGTGAAATGACCTGCCCAACTCAACCAGAGCTGCTGAGTCTGTGGCCCTTTTCAAGAAACGGCTGAAGACGCATCTTTTTCGGCAACACTTGATCCATTAATACTAACACTTTATCTTCTATTCTATATCTATTATCTTTATAAAAAAAAAAAAAAAATGTGCACGTATTGCGTTAGATTTAACTGGGAAGGGTTATAACACTTGCATATTGTTTTTTCTATTGTTAGTTTAACTGCTTCTATTGTTCTCATGTCAAGTCAAGTCAAGTATATTTATATAGGGCTTTTCACAATATAGATTGAATCAAAGCAGCTTCACAGTATCAATCAAAACATAATAACAATGTCTGTTTCTTAGAGTAAAATATCCACATTTGGTAGAGCTGATCAATGCTATTAATATTGTATTAATACTCATTTGTAAGTTACTTTGGATAAAAGCATCTGCTAAATGAATAAATGTAAATGTGTACATATGATTTGCTAATATTAAATAATTTTATGTATATATCAGCATTATACTGGCCATCTACAGCATATAGATACTGGCAAGCCTATCTGCAAACACCATCATTCAGGTCCTGCTTAAGCACAATTGAAAGCAATAAATGCTTACCACAGGTCGAGAGAAGTGGTCTTCAGCCAAGCCCAGATCCATTGCACGGTCTGAACTCTGAGTTTTGGATTCAGAGGAAAAGATCTCCGACCTCACCTCTGTGGACACAGGAAATTGATTCAGATCACACACTGATCTTTCCTTTGAACAAGTGCTCCTGATTCTCACACTACATCACATATCCACTAGCTACTGTGTCAGTGTTACATGGTGTGACTTTTCAATCATTAACATTAGGAAAGTACAAACTGTATTTAAGTGAGTGTGTTTGAGTTGTACAACTCAGTAATGATTAACTGTAAAAAGACTAGTTAATTTAATGTTAATGTTTAATTGGATTTCATGCTAAGCTGAATACATTATGTTATGAGTATCAGAAAAATAAACAAAGCTAAAATATTAGTCAAGTCAAAAACTGGCAACAATAACTTATGTAGTCAGTAAAAGATTAATATTATAGATGCTATAAGAGAATGTAAGGAAAAGTATAATATATTATTTATAATATACAGTGGGTACGGAAAGTATTCAGACCCCCTTAAATTTTTCACTCTTTGTTATTTTGCAGCCATTTGCTGAAATCATTTAAGTTCGTTTTTTTCCCTCATTACTGTACAACCCAAAAAACTGTACAACCCCTCATTACTGTACACAAAGCATCCCATATTGACAGAAAAACACAGAATTGTTGACATTTTTGCACATTTATTAAAAAAGAAAAACTGAAATATCACATCGTCCTAAGTATTCAGACCCTTTGCTGTGAGTCTGTGACACTCATATATTTAACTCAGTTGCTGTCTATTTCTTCTGATCATCCTTGAGATGGTCCTACACATAGACATAATATATACATAGACGCCCTATTGGCCGCTTTGGTACGTTGCTGCGATACGTCAACGGGTCCGCCATTTTGCGGAGGTCAAGACTGCACTGTAATTAAATGTAAGTAAACGGGTAAGCAGCGTTTTTCTGGATAAAACGTTCTTGGATAATAATGGTGAAGACCCCCATACTGAGATATTTAAGTTTGCTCATTGTGGAAAAAGCATTTTATGTGATTGGCCAGATTTTAGCAATAACATTGATAACTGGATCCTTATGATAATACATGTTGTGGTACAACTGGGCATACAGTGCAATGCAAATAGTAATTATAACATAAAGTGAGAAGTAATAGTAAATAGTTTAGTCAATAAAATAAGCAAATAGTATACAGCAAATAAAATGGTAATGAATACTAGTATAATTATATAAAAAAAATATTGATAATAGTATAGTTCGTTAACAATGCTATAATAATAATAGCAATAGAATAAGACATTTCAACTAGAGAATATACACACACAAAAAAATAAGTTAAATAGTGACATATATTTAAAATTTAGCTCTTTGTGTTAAATTTCAGTTTTATTGATCAGTAATAGGCTAGCCATTATAAGAGAAGCATCTTCAGCCAAACATACAGCAGGATACAATGTTAAAATAGCCTAAATATAAAGTTATGAAACTTTACTTTGCCCTCAGCCAAAACTATTTACCAGGGAACCATTTATAGATTAATGAGACCAACGATAAACACAAATTATACTAATTATATCTCATGTTTAATCTCTAGACTAGAGACATCCGAGCCAGCGGCAACCGTTAGAAGCACTGGCCGAGGTACGGCTGTTCCAGGCGGGGGAGACGAGCGCTGGGTGGGAACGCAGCATAGTACAACTTCGAAAACTTCAGATCAAATTTTTAAATAGGCGCTATCTTTATAAACAAACCACATATTTGAGCTTTAAACAACTACATTGTCGACTGAAAAACTATTAAAACTACATTTCGTGACACAATAACAGTAGTATTTAACCTCTAAACGTTACTATTTAATTAAATCATGACCAAATACAACCAAAAACAAACATTCAGTCTTGCTTGTGAAAGGTACTTCCTCGAAAGCTGTTTTCAGTTGTGTGGCGATTTGTCCAGCCCCAAGCAGCGCACAAAACAGGCATTTTTCTTAATTCCTGGTATGAGAGGTATGGGAAAGTTGCTCTCCCCAATATGGCGGCGCCGTTGACGTACGCTCCAGTGGCCAATAGGGCGTCTATGTATTTATTATGTCTATGGTTCTACACTTTCATTTGAGTCCAGCTGTGTTTGATTATACTGATTGGACTTGATTAGGAAAGCCACACACCTGTCTATATAAAACCTTACAGCTCACAGTGCATTTCAGAGCAAATGAGAATCATGAGGTCAAAGGAACTGCCTGAAGAGCTCAGAGACAGAATTGTGGCAAAGCACAGATCTGGCCAAGGTTACAAAAAAAATTCTGCTGCATTTAAGGTTCCTAAGAGCACAGTGGCCTCCATAATCCTTAAATGGAAGACTTTTGGGACGACCAGAACCCTTCCTAGAGCTGGCCGTCCAGCCAAACTGAGCTATCGGGTGAGAGGAGCCTTGGTGAGAGAGGTAAAGAAGAACCCAAAGATCACTGTGGCTGAGCTCCAGAGATGCAGTCAGGAGATGGGAGAAAGTTGTAGTAAGTGTGATGGATGTAAAAAATTCCTAATGTGAATGTATGTATTTCACTAAATATCCCTCTCTACTTTTTTTATTTATTTATTTTATTTTAAATAGTCTATGAAAATGTTATTTTTCTTTATGTATCTTTAGCGTTAATTTGGAAGGAGAGTTTAATTATGTGTTGGCACTTACGCCGTGACGTCATTTCTGTGCCAATCGCGCTGCGTCCTCAGTCTGCATTGTGCATGCTGAGGAGAGGTAAGCGGTCGGAGGTGTTCCTCCATATAAGTTTATAAAAGTTTGCAGAGATTCGATAAAGTACATAATATGCATTAATATTATTGTTAATACTGTTATAAAGGTTCTAGAAAATGTTTCATGTACGGACGGATAGGATTGATGGTTTTATTACGAAGTACAGATGTCGAATATGTGTGTGCGTCGCCAGAACGTGGTGATTGTAACATATTGATTATAATTCTTAATCTGTGCAGGTGATACAGACAGAGAGAAACAATTTTTCATTGCCGTCTCTCTCTTTAATTCATCCAGGTATGATTTGCATTTGTTTAATTTTTTAATGTATTCATTTTGTATTAATTTGGTTTCAAATTCATGAGTTATTCAGAATTTGTTGCAATAGATTTTATTGTGATTAGATAAATGGTTGTGACGATTTATTTTGAATTCAATGTTTGCAATATGTTTTCATTTATTGTATTTTTGATGTTATTAACAACATATTGGTTGTTGAGTCTGCATTGAGCATGCTGAGGAGAGGTGATAAAGACAGAGAGAAACAATTTTTTCATTGCCGTCTCTCTCTTTAATTCATCCAGCACCATCCCATGTTCCATGAGAATAAACCTTCAGTCAGCAGCAGTTCCGGTATTCCGTGTCTTCTATGAGTACCAACACGCCACACAACACAACGCAGATAGAGTACAATGGTCAATAAAGGACCAGTTACAGTGGTGCCGTGACCCGGATGAAGATCAGCTCGTCTTCCAGGATCTTCATCCAAGGATCAATGTCGTTTGGTCGCCGGTGGATGCTGCATTTCACTTAAGGTTTCAATGAACGGTAACACAAATAGGTTCATTGTGGTGAGCAGGACCGGTGGTGCGATTGCTAATGAGCAGCACCTGTGAAGCACACCGGTCTCGCATCTCTCACGGAGGAGCAAAGCCATAAAGGGGGAGCGACGGAGTGGATGATCGAGAGAGGAAAAGGCCTGCTTTTGTTTGTATTTTATATTTTATTTGGTAAGCCAGCAGTCGTCCGCGAGGGGCTGCTGGCCGGTATTTATGTTTTATTTTCGGTAGCCAGCAGTCGTCCGTGAGGGGCTGCTGGCAGGTAATTTGTTTGTTTATTTTGTTTAAATAAAGTTTTATTTTTGATTATTATCTGGTTCCTTCCTGGTTCCTTCTTCCCTGAACCTTGCTACATTCATTTTTGCTGAACTGGACATTTGACTTCATAATTAGCGCCACTAATTTTATTATTTTTTTCCCTCTTTGTATCATTTAATCATATATTGTGTTGGCGCCAGTGGTGGAAAGAGTACTGAAAAAACATACTCAAGTAAAAGTACCATTACATTCCAAAAAATGTAGTGTGAGTAGAGTAAAAAGTACTCGTCCAAAAAACTACTTGAGTAAGAGTAAAAAAGTAGCTTATTTAAAAGTACTCATGAGTAGTGAGTAGTGAGTACTGAGGTGCGGATTCTACCCCTTATAATAAACACTGTGCACTACAATTTATAAATAAAAAAAAATTGCACATACTGTAATTTAAGTATGCATCAAATCAGTACACTCATCAGCATTTAAATCATATTATTTAGGGGGAAAAGCATTTAAAATGAGGCGAAACGCCACTGGGCCTGTGTAAAGAATTCAAAAACCTTTAGAAACTCATATGATAGTTCAGGATCACACACACCAAGAGATGGGTTAAATAGAGAGATTAAAAAAAATACCAAATTTCTCTCCAAAACAGTACCAATGTTAGTGTTTTGAGAAATGAGAATCACTAATATTATCAGATTACCTCAACTAATGCACTGAAAAAGGCTAAGATAGTGAGCTAACACTAATTACACACTTTAATTCCATCTATTAAATATGTTACAATTTAAACGTAAATGCACATTGTTCTAGAAGGGTGGCATCATCCTTTACATTTTACACGGCTACATTTACTCACATTGTAATGCTGATAATAATATAATTTGTAAGGGAAATTGTGCCTTAAATAGGAAAGTTATATCCAGGAAACTTTTACAAAAGAAACAAACAAACAAACACACACTTTGTCTCTTTGAAGTCTCGGCGAAGCAGTTTTATCAGCAGCATCCACAAACAAAAAAACAAAAGTTCAACATGAAAAATGTTTTTGCGCAAGTGCACTTGCCAAATGAAGACGGATCGTATAATGGATGAATCAAAAAACGTTGTTTATTAACGAGCTGTGCTAATTTCTTATTAAGAAATGCAGTTCAAGTTAACGACATGGTGCACTGATTCTGAATCTGGCGGCATGGCGAGCGCGAGACGCGGCAGATCGCCGCACGTCC